GACCCACTAAAAGGGATAGTGGCCATAGATGGTAGAGACATAAAACAATATCACCTTAGGTCACTGAGGAAGCACATTGGTCTGGTGAGCCAAGAGCCAACATTGTTTGGTGGGAGCATAAGGGAAAACATTGCATATGGAGCATGTAACAAGGTTGATGAAAGTGAGATCATAGAAGCAGCAAGGGCTGCAAATGCTCATGACTTCATTGCAAGTCTGAAGGATGGATATGAAACATGGTGTGGAGATAGAGGAGTGCAACTCTCAGGGGGTCAGAAGCAAAGAATTGCAATAGCAAGAGCCATACTGAAGAACCCTGAAGTGCTGTTGCTGGATGAAGCCACCAGTGCTCTTGATAGCCAGTCAGAGAAATTGGTGCAAGATGCTCTAGACAGGGTGATGGTGGGAAGAACTAGTGTGGTGGTGGCTCACAGGTTAAGCACAATACAGAACTGTGATCAAATTGCTGTGCTAGACAAGGGAAAAGTGGTGGAGAAAGGGACTCATTCATCTTTGTTGGCTCAAGGACCAAGTGGAGCTTATTACTCTTTGGTGAGTTTGCAAAGAAGACCAACAAAACATGAAGGTTAATCCTAAAAATATGAAAATCAGCTAACCTAAACAAACCAAGTTGTCACATATTTCAGATTACTATAAAATCTCTTCTTTCGCTTGATGGAAGATATATATATAGCTTCAAACAAGAATGGTGGAACAAAATGGATGAAAAGTAAACTAAGTAAGATAAGGCATGTATAACAGTTGTTTTCTCTTAATTTCTTATGTTATATATGCTTAAAGTAATTATATGATAATTAGTTTTATTTGACTTAAAATGTATGTAGTCTTTAGTCATGGTTTCTTAAAATCTAGATTTTGAATTTATCTTTAGTTAGGATATTTACTTTATTTATTATCATTATATTGTGTTAAGGGTTATTTTAATTATGATCATATTGTGTTTAAGGTTATTCTATTTGTCATAATTATATTGTGTTTAAGTTTACCTAATTATCATGATTATATTGTATCTAAGATTACCTAATTATCATGATTATATTGTGTGGATTGCCCTAACTATCATGTATTTTATATGAATTTATTATTATAAATAGAAGATTATGAAAAGAATCAATCAAACCCCAATAATTATTTTTTTTCAATCTTAAGTCCCTTCAAACTAAGGGAACTCAATATTTAAGATGTATTTTTATTAAAGAAAATGATATGGTATATGTTTTATATTTTAGTAAGTTTAGATAATATAACAGTAATCAATAAATAATATATTAGTAAGAAAATGACATATATATATATATATATATATATATATATATATATATATATATATATATATATATATATGTTATATCAAAATATTATAAAAAAAAACTTATGTTAAAATATATATTTTTTTTATAAATCAGCTTATAAAATTAAGAAAATGAACTTTTAAAATGATTTATTTAGGATTCTGAGATAACTTTTTTAAATTAGTGTGAAGTAAGTAAAAGTTAGATGTCACTTAATTTCAAAGCTTAATAATAGAATAACATTAACAAATTTCACTAATAAGGTAATGTAACTTAGATAATAGAAACAAAGTTAAAAAAGTTAAAAGGTAATGGTACTTAGATAATAGAAGCAAATTTAAAAAAGTTAAAAGGTAATGGTACTTAGATAATAGAAACAAAGTTAAAAAAGTTAAAAGATAATGGTACTTAGATAATAGAAGCAAAGTTAAAAAAGATAGAAGAGTTAAATCAGGGACGGGCAAATGGTCGGAAGTAACTCGCTCTAGTCCAATTGTAACAGACAATAGAGCTATTGAAAATAGAGCAGGAAGAAGCAGCTTAGGAAGAGAGTAAGAATACCACGAAACTTCTGAGAGATTACGTTAGGGATCGTCCTCTTCGGGTGCGAAAGAGGCTTCGGCCCAATGGTAAGTTTCTTTTTGCAGACGCTACATATTGTCTTGTTTCACAAAAAAAAATTATGTGTATTCTGTAATATGTGGCCAAATTATTTTCTTGGTCAAGGTCTTTAGTAAATATTCCATAAAAAAAATGATGTGTATTGTATTCTTTCTATCCTTGCAAATTATTTTGTTAGTCCTGTCTTTCATAAAGATTTGAAAATGTTGTATATTTTGTATCATGTCTTATTAGAATAAAAGGGTAGAAACGTAAAAACCCATACACAGATATTATTTCTCTTAAAACGTGAATTATGCACGTGATAGTGAGAGAAAGCCAAAAGTAGAAAGAGAAACGCGAGAATCTGAGAGAGGAGATGAGCACTGGAAGCTCTGCTAGGGTTCAACCCTCTTCAACAGTCACCACCACCACACACGGCAGTTTCAAAATGATCAATAGGATGCAAACACTCACAGGTATTCTGAATAACCTCAAAAATTGTATTATTTTCTGTTTGAAACTGATTTACAGAGTTTATATACATGAGAATAATCTGTTTTTTCTGTTTGATTTACACTTCAACACTCCTCCTAAAACAAAACTTGAAAAACCAACGATTATTCGACGAAAAAACCCCTTTTCACCGATTGAATCTGTGAAAAGCTTCACCTCCTTGATTTCCAGCAACTTCTACCGATTAAAGTCAGTAAAACCACCTTCTTCAAGCACACACATGTTTTTCACCGATTAAAACCCGGGAAAAACACCTCCTTGACCGATCTCCTCCTCCGTGAAGAAAACCCTAATTTTTCAAAATCTCAACTTGCACCATCCCATTTTTCTTTCTGAGTTTCAGAAAGTGTTCGCCTTTAAGGGCTTTAGTCAGTATATCTGCAAGTTGATCTTCGGATCTGCAGTGTACAATCTCCAGTTTCCCATTGCTGACCTGTTCCCTGATATAGTGGAATCTGGTCTCAATGTGTTTACTCCTACCGTGAGATGTAGGATGTTTAGCAAGATTTATGGCTGATTTGTTGTCAACCATTAATCTCACCCTCTTCTCAGACAGCTCAATCTTTAGTCCTTCTACCAAGGATCTCAGCCAGGTTGCTTGACATGTAGCTTCACAGGCAGCTATGTATTCTGCCTCACATGATGTCAGTATCCGTTTGACAGCAATCAAATGTGGTACTCTAGGACACTCCATGTATCTGCTTATCACTCCAACACTATAGCTCAAATCAGGTCTGGTGTTAAAGAGATACCTAAGACTTCCAACCATTCTCCTGTAAGTTGTTGGATCAACAGCTTCCTCTTCTGGCTCTTTTTCCAGCCTCAATCCTACTTCTGTAGGAGTATTTGTAGCATTACAGTCACCCATCTCATATTTTTTCAGCAGGTCTAAAGCATAGCTTGATTGGTGCATCACTATTCCACTTTCAATCTTGGTAAACTCAATGCCAAGAAAATAGCTGAGTCTTCCAAGAATTCTCATTTCAAACTCACTTTGCATTTCAGTTTTAAAAACTGAAATTAATTCCTCACAACTTCCAGTGACTAACAAGTCATCCACATAGAGACACACAATCAACTTCTCTGTTCTGCCTTTGTGCTGACAGCTTTGCACATACACACCGTGTTCTGAAACACATTTTTCAAACCCAATACTGCCCATGAAACCATCAATACGCTGGTTCCAGGCCCTTGGAGCCTGCTTAAGCCCATAGAGAGCTTTCCTTAGCCTATACACTTTGTCCAGCTGCCCTTTGACCTCAAAACCCTATGGTTGCACCACATAAACCTCCTCCTCCAGTCTTCCATTTAGGAAGGCTGACTTCACATCAAGCTGGTGTAAAGACCAGCAAAATTTAGTGGCCAAGGATAACACTAACCTGATAGTTTCAACCCTTGCCATAGGAGCAAATACTTCACCATAATCAACTCCAGCCTTTTGTAAGAATCCCTTAGCAACCAGTCGTGCCTTATACCTCACAACAATGCCTTGTGGATTTATCTTTGATTTGTAAACCTATTTTAATGTTATGGGTTTCTTTCCAGAGGGTAATTCCACCAGTTCCCAGGTCTGGTTCCTTTCTATGGAGTCAATCTCCTCCTCCATGGCTTTATGCCATTTCTCATCTTTAACTGCTTCTTCAAATTCTACTGGTTCAACCTCTGCAATTAGGGCATAATGAACACATTGTCCATCTGTTGTTAGAGTAGCTTCATAGGATAGCTCATAATCTCTCAAAGTGTACTGGCAGTTGTGTAGTTCTGGCAGTTGTGTAGTTCTGGATGATCTTCTCTGTCTGTCATTCCCACTGTCCTCTTCTATTTCAACTGCAGCAGTGGTATCTTCCAAAGAAATGGTTGGAGATTCCTGCTCAGCTGCTTTCCACTGCCAAGCTCCACTCTCATCAACAACTACATCCCTATTGATACATGTTGTCCTTGATACAGGGTCATACAGTTTGTATCCTCCAGTAGGATTATAGCCCACAAGAATCAGTGGCACACCTTTGTCATCCAGCTTTCTCCTTAATTGATTTGGTATATGCTTATAACATATAGATCCAAAGATTCTCAGATGTTTAACATCTGGTTTCACACCTGTCCACGCCTCTTCAGGTGTCAGACCCACCAGTCTCTTTGTTGGAGACAAATTCAGTATATAAGTGGCTATCACCACAGCCTCTCCCCATAAAAAGTTAGACAACCCTTTGCTTTTTAACATACATCTCACCATGTTCAGGAGTGTTCTATTCTTCCTTTCAGCTGCACCATTATGTTGTGGTGTATATGGAGGAGTAACCTCATGTACAATCCCTTCATTTTCACAGAACACCTTGAATTCAGTGGAGATGTATTCTCCACCTCCGTCTGTCCTCAAGACCTTTATCTTCTGCTCACACTGCTTCTCAACCATCCTTTTGAATTTCTGAAACACCTGTAATACTTCTCCTTTCCTCTTGATTAGGTACACCCAACATTTTATGGTGTAATCATCAATAAACAACAGGAAGTATCTACTACCTCATGGTGTTTCAACCTGTATTGGTCCACAAACATCCGAATAGACTACTCCTAGTCTTCCTGCAGATCTCTGGGTAGATTCTTCTGAAAACTGCCCCTTGTTTGCTTACACTGCACACACTCACTGCACACTGTGTCTGCAATCTCAACATTAGGCAATCCATTCACCATTCTCTTCTGTCCTAACAGAGACAGATCTCTGAAATTTAAATGCCCAAACCGCAAATGCCAAAGCCATTCCTCCTTGCTCTCTGAGGCAGTGAAGCACTGGTGTTTTACTGCACTCATCACAACCCTGAATGTCCGATTGTGTGACAGCTGAGCTTGTACAATCATTCTCCTCTGTTGGTTGAAAATACTAAGGCCGTTATCCTCCATTTTCATCACATAGCCCTTCTGCAGTAGCTGCCCCAAGCTTAGCAAATTTGATTTCAAACCTGGTACATACAGTACCTCTTCAATTGTGACTTCCTTTCCTTCTGCATCCCTTAGAACAACTCTGCCTGTACCTTCTGCCATCAAGCTTCTGTCATCAGCAAAACGAATTTTTCCTTGTGCAACATCCTTAATTCCCACAAACCAGTCTTTTCTACCTGTCATGTGGGTAGAGCAACCAGAATCTAAGTACCACACATCTTTTTCTGATGAATTTTCCTCAGTTTTAGCCGTCAACATCACTGGTTCTGAGTCAGATTCCTCCTCTTGGGCCAAATTAGCCCTTTTCTTTGGTTTGTTCTTAGCACCTTCACCACTCCAGCAATCCTTGGCATAATGGTCAAGTTTCTGACAATTATAGCACTTGACCTTCTTTTTGTCAAATTTCCATTCACCACTCTTCTGATTTTTCACTTTGCTTGACTCACTGGACTCTTCTCCTTGCTGGTCCGGTGAGTCTTTGCCCTTCTTGCTACCTTTTCCTCCTTTCTTGAACAACTTCTTGCCTTTTCACTGAGATCTGGCCTGCAAGGCCTGCTCCTGGCATTGTCTGCACTCATTAATACGAAATTCATGAGCCTCCAATGAGTTCAAGAACTCCTCTATCTCCATGGTTTCCTTCCTTCTGGTTTCCTCTATAGCAACCACAACATTATCAAATCTGGATGATAGTGTTCTCAGGATCTTGTCAACAATATACTCATCAGATATTCCATCTTTACAGGCCCTCATCTTATTTACTAATTCTTGTACCTTATCAAAGTACTCAGCCACGGTTTCATTCTCCTCCATGACTAGAATTTCAAATTGTCTTCTCAGTGCCTGCAGTTTAACTTTTGTGTTTCTGTCTCCATCCCCATAAGTCTTTACTAAGATGTCCCATACCTCCTTAGCAGTAGCAGCTTTGGAGATCTTGTTGAAGATCTTTGGGCTGACACACTGGTACAGCAGAAACCTTGCCTTGCTATCCAGTTTTACTTGCCACTTATAACTCTTTTTCTCTTCTTCAGTGGCCCTGTCACTCAACTCGGGCAACCCATCTTCTATCACCTCTGAAACATCCTGGAAGCGAAAAATGGCTTGCATTTTAATGCGCCAGTCTTCAAACTGCTTCCCATAAAACACTGGTAGTGGCCCCTGTATACCCCCAAATCCTGCCATCCTTTCTTGCTGAGTTCTTGAACTTTCTTTGATCTTTAACCACTCAAAGAAACCTTCTTTCTTCTCCTCTGGATACACACAATTCCAGATCACTCACCAGGAAAGCAACAACACGAACCTATGCTCTTGATACCATATTAGAATAAAAGGGTAGAAATGTAAAAACCCATACACAGATATTATTTCTCTTAAAATGTGAATTATGCACGTGATAGTGAGAGAAAGCCAAAAGTAGAAAGAGAAACGCGAGAATCTGAGAAAGGAGATGAGCACTGGAAGCTCCGCTAGGGTTCAACCCTCTTCAATAGTCACCACCACCACACACGGCAGTTTCAGAATGATCAACAGGATGCAAAGACTCACAGGTATTCTGAATAACCTCAAAAATTGTATTATTTTCTGTTTGAAACTAATTTACAGAGTTTATATACATGAGAATAATATGTTTTTTCTGTTTGATTTACACTTCAACATGTCTAACCTTTTCTTAGATTAGTGTATAACTCATTATTGAACTATTATTATAATCGCTCTCACACGAAAAATGTAGGGAATGGTTTGAAGGGATAAAAATACTTAGATTCAAAGCTGTTACCAAAATCAAGCACATTAATTAAACCTAACATCATAGAACTCTCATCTTAGAAGCACTAAGATGTCGTCCATTAAGCACGATGGTGGTTAATCCTAAAAATATGAAAATCAGCTAACCTAAACAGACCAAATTGTCACATATTTTAGATTATTATAAAACCTCTTCTTTGGCTTGATGGATATAGCTTCAAACATAAAAAAAATGGTGGAATAAAGATGGATGAAAANAACCAGTCGTGCCTTATACCTCACAACAATGCCTTGTGGATTTATCTTTGATTTGTAAACCTATTTTAATGTTATGGGTTTCTTTCCAGAGGGTAATTCCACCAGTTCCCAGGTCTGGTTCCTTTCTATGGAGTCAATCTCCTCCTCCATGGCTTTATGCCATTTCTCATCTTTAACTGCTTCTTCAAATTCTACTGGTTCAACCTCTGCAATTAGGGCATAATGAACACATTGTCCATCTGTTGTTAGAGTAGCTTCATAGGATAGCTCATAATCTCTCAAAGTGTACTGGCAGTTGTGTAGTTCTGGCAGTTGTGTAGTTCTGGATGATCTTCTCTGTCTGTCATTCCCACTGTCCTCTTCTATTTCAACTGCAGCAGTGGTATCTTCCAAAGAAATGGTTGGAGATTCCTGCTCAGCTGCTTTCCACTGCCAAGCTCCACTCTCATCAACAACTACATCCCTATTGATACATGTTGTCCTTGATACAGGGTCATACAGTTTGTATCCTCCAGTAGGATTATAGCCCACAAGAATCAGTGGCACACCTTTGTCATCCAGCTTTCTCCTTAATTGATTTGGTATATGCTTATAACATATAGATCCAAAGATTCTCAGATGTTTAACATCTGGTTTCACACCTGTCCACGCCTCTTCAGGTGTCAGACCCACCAGTCTCTTTGTTGGAGACAAATTCAGTATATAAGTGGCTATCACCACAGCCTCTCCCCATAAAAAGTTAGACAACCCTTTGCTTTTTAACATACATCTCACCATGTTCAGGAGTGTTCTATTCTTCCTTTCAGCTGCACCATTATGTTGTGGTGTATATGGAGGAGTAACCTCATGTACAATCCCTTCATTTTCACAGAACACCTTGAATTCAGTGGAGATGTATTCTCCACCTCCGTCTGTCCTCAAGACCTTTATCTTCTGCTCACACTGCTTCTCAACCATCCTTTTGAATTTCTGAAACACCTGTAATACTTCTCCTTTCCTCTTGATTAGGTACACCCAACATTTTCTGGTGTAATCATCAATAAACAACAGGAAGTATCTACTACCTCATGGTGTTTCAACCTGTATTGGTCCACAAACATCCGAATAGACTACTCCTAGTCTTCCTGCAGATCTCTGGGTAGATTCTTCTGAAAACTGCCCCTTGTTTGCTTACACTGCACACACTCACTGCACACTGTGTCTGCAATCTCAACATTAGGCAATCCATTCACCATTCTCTTCTGTCCTAACAGAGACAGATCTCTGAAATTTAAATGCCCAAACCGCAAATGCCAAAGCCATTCCTCCTTGCTCTCTGAGGCAGTGAAGCACTGGTGTTTTACTGCACTCATCACAACCCTGAATGTCCGATTGTGTGACAGCTGAGCTTGTACAATCATTCTCCTCTGTTGGTTGAAAATACTAAGGCCGTTATCCTCCATTTTCATCACATAGCCCTTCTGCAGTAGCTGCCCCAAGCTTAGCAAATTTGATTTCAAACCTGGTACATACAGTACCTCTTCAATTGTGACTTCCTTTCCTTCTGCATCCCTTAGAACAACTCTGCCTGTACCTTCTGCCATCAAGCTTCTGTCATCAGCAAAACGAATTTTTCCTTGTGCAACATCCTTAATTCCCACAAACCAGTCTTTTCTACCTGTCATGTGGGTAGAGCAACCAGAATCTAAGTACCACACATCTTTTTCTGATGAATTTTCCTCAGTTTTAGCCGTCAACATCACTGGTTCTGAGTCAGATTCCTCCTCTTGGGCCAAATTAGCCCTTTTCTTTGGTTTGTTCTTAGCACCTTCACCACTCCAGCAATCCTTGGCATAATGGTCAAGTTTCTGACAATTATAGCACTTGACCTTCTTTTTGTCAAATTTCCATTCACCACTCTTCTGATTTTTCACTTTGCTTGACTCACTGGACTCTTCTCCTTGCTGGTCAGGTGAGTCTTTGCCATTCTTGCTACATATTCCTCCTTTCTTGAACAACTTCTTGCCTTTACACTGAGATATGGCCTGCAAGGCCTGCTCCTGGCATTGTCTGCACTCATTAATACGAAATTCATGAGCCTCCAATGAGTTCAAGAACTCCTCTATCTCCATGGTTTCCTTCCTTCTGGTTTCCTCTATAGCAACCACAACATTATCAAATCTGGATGATAGTGTTCTCAGGATCTTGTCAACAATATACTCATCAGATATTCCATCTTTACAGGCCCTCATCTTATTTACTAATTCTTGTACCTTATCAAAGTACTCAGCCACGGTTTCATTCTCCTCCATGACTAGAATTTCAAATTGTCTTCTCAGTGCCTGCAGTTTAACTTTTGTGTTTCTGTCTCCATCCCCATAAGTCTTTACTAAGATGTCCCATACCTCCTTAGCAGTAGCAGCTTTGGAGATCTTGTTGAAGATCTTTGGGCTGACACACTGGTACAGCAGAAACCTTGCCTTGCTATCCAGTTTTACTTGCCACTTATAACTCTTTTTCTCTTCTTCAGTGGCCCTGTCACTCAACTCGGGCAACCCATCTTCTATCACCTCTGAAACATCCTGGAAGCGAAAAATGGCTTGCATTTTAATGCGCCAGTCTTCAAACTGCTTCCCATAAAACACTGGTAGTGGCCCCTGTATACCCCCAAATCCTGCCATCCTTTCTTGCTGAGTTCTTGAACTTTCTTTGATCTTTAACCACTCAAAGAAACCTTCTTTCTTCTCCTCTGGATACACACAATTCCAGATCACTCACCAGGAAAGCAACAACACGAACCTATGCTCTTGATACCATATTAGAATAAAAGGGTAGAAATGTAAAAACCCATACACAGATATTATTTCTCTTAAAATGTGAATTATGCACGTGATAGTGAGAGAAAGCCAAAAGTAGAAAGAGAAACGCGAGAATCTGAGAAAGGAGATGAGCACTGGAAGCTCCGCTAGGGTTCAACCCTCTTCAATAGTCACCACCACCACACACGGCAGTTTCAGAATGATCAACAGGATGCAAAGACTCACAGGTATTCTGAATAACCTCAAAAATTGTATTATTTTCTGTTTGAAACTAATTTACAGAGTTTATATACATGAGAATAATATGTTTTTTCTGTTTGATTTACACTTCAACATGTCTAACCTTTTCTTAGATTAGTGTATAACTCATTATTGAACTATTATTATAATCGCTCTCACACGAAAAATGTAGGGAATGGTTTGAAGGGATAAAAATACTTAGATTCAAAGCTGTTACCAAAATCAAGCACATTAATTAAACCTAACATCATAGAACTCTCATCTTAGAAGCACTAAGATGTCGTCCATTAAGCACGATGGTGGTTAATCCTAAAAATATGAAAATCAGCTAACCTAAACAGACCAAATTGTCACATATTTTAGATTATTATAAAACCTCTTCTTTGGCTTGATGGATATAGCTTCAAACATAAAAAAAATGGTGGAATAAAGATGGATGAAAAAGAAACTAAGTAAAGATGGAAGATCTCAATGTTATATATGCTTAAAGAAATTGTATGATAATTAGTTTTATTTGACTTAAATGTATTTAGTCTTTAGTCTTGGTCTCCTAAAATCTAGATTTTGAATTTATTGTCCGTTATTTATCATCATTATATTGTGTTAAGAGTTATCATAATCATGATTATATTGTGTTTAAGGTTACTCTTTTTATCATGATTACATTGTGTCTAGACTTATCCTATCCTAATTATCATGATTATATTGTATCTATGATTACCCTAATTATCATGTATTTTATATCGATTTATTTTTATAAATAAAAGATTATGAAAGGGATCAATCAAACTCTCTCGAGAATTATTTTTTTCAATCTCAAATCCTTTAAAACTAAGGGAATTCAATACTCTATTTTTAAGATGCAATTTTATTAATATGTCTAATTTCATTCATGTTTAAATGAAGAAGATTTACCCTTCTACTCTAAAAGAGTTTATATATTTTTGAGTCAAATATCAAATCCATTTCAATATTATAACAAAAGTAAGAATTAATAAATATTAACTTTGAATAGTCCTGGTTTGTTTTTATTAAAGAAAATGATATATTGATACAAATTTTTAATACCATTATAATATGGTATATGTGTTATATTTTAGTAAGTTTAGAGAATATAACACAGTAATCAATAAATAATAT